TTTATGGAAAGCTTTGGAGCCTGGATTCAGGTGGTTTCTTGGACTATGTCTCCTATCATTACTAAACTCCCAGAATCCCGCACCTAAGGGGACCTACTGTCTGCAATCAACACCATTTTCAAACTCAAGAGTTAACAATAAATGAATAAGAACTGTAATGGTTTTTTTAAAAAAATCTGAGGTTGGCTTAGTTCCTAATAGGCCGTTAAGTCCTGTTAGCTTTACAGGTAGAGGGCCTGACTTGTAGAATTCCTTTGTTGATTTAGATCCATACACCTCCTCTGGTGTGTGTGGCTACAGAGACTGCTACAATTAAGCCCCCCCAGCTTAGAAGGGACGAATCGCAAGCACCATAATTCCCTGCAACTAGATACTTTTGGGGAAGGAAGTAAACTAGTGAGCATTTGCAAAGGTACAGTAGACATAACTACTTGTACCAAATAAATAAATAACACAACATGTAGTCACTAAGTCACTTTTACAGGCGTAACAAATAAACTTTGCAAGTTAGCTGGAAGTAAACATTCATAGATTTCAAGTAACTTTAAAAGTAAATGTTTTAAAGGTCATTTTGAGAGACACTTTGATATGAATTTTTCAGGATTTCTGCCACCACTTCAGGAATCACCTGCAGCACAGGAAGCGTTGTCTTTTGTAAAGATGTGCAAGGCACACTATCAGAATCAGACACTAGGGGGCACTAGAGAACACACTGTTGCAGTGCTTTTGTCTGCCGAGGTCAGTGGAACATGCTAATGCTGAGTTACCTGCGCAATCGGAGCCACAACCGTGACCTTTTGGTTGCTGAGAAAGTAAACAGCAGACTTATTACCTCCATCACACATCCCACTTTCTGAAATACAGAAATGTAGGGCACGCTCAGCTCAGAAACACTCAGCTCTGAGAGGAAGGGAAATTTTAACGTGTAGCATTCCCATGTGTAGAAAACGACCAACCTAGGGAAGAAAAACGTCCTTCTTTCTACATGTTTCTTCTCGGATAAGGGTTAAATGTGCTTTCCAGAGAAAGGCAAACGTCCCGTTGATGTTTTTAAAAGCAAACACCAGGCAATGTGAGGTATAAATAAGCAAATTTAAATACTTCCATCATCTTTCAAACCCACCCAACATTTCCGGTGAAAATCGACCCCGCAAGATGCAGTCCAGGCAGCTTCAACCAGTTGAGCTCACCTCTATGGAAGCAGCTCAACCAGACAGAAAAAGCCAAGAGGATGCATTCCTGCCCCTTCGGATTTCACGCCCTTAAAACAGACATCCCTGGAAACGCAAGGCTGGCCGGCTTCCCCTTCCTGCCCTTGGCTTATCACAGGTAACTCTCGTGGTGAATTGGGAGGAAAAGAACGTGGAAAGTCCCCAGTCTGTGCTCAGTCAATGGGTTTCACTTTGGCAATGAAGACGGCTGAAGCCCTCTTGAGAAACTCATCCTTCTTCATGGCCACGCTGGGCTTCCTCTCGCTCAAGGCTCGGTCCATAGTTGACGCCAAACTGTCCGGCCCCAGCTTGGATCCGGCCTCCAAGTAACGGATGGGAGCCGAGACGCCGGTGTCGCGCAGAGCCTCCTCCAGGGTGCCCAGCACGGCCACGCATGCCCTCTTATCCGCGGCAGCAGACCCGCCGCCGAGTGCATTGTAGAGGGCACCTGCCTTGGCCAAGAACTCCAGGAGAACCAGGCAGCAGAGGACCCCATAGCGGAAGATGTCGAAGGGCACGGCCTCATGGTCCCGGCAGGTGATCTTCCGCAGCAGGGGCTGCACAAGATCATCCGGCGCAGCGCGCTCCCGGCACATCAGCCGCAGCAGGTCACTGTAGACCTTCCCGTTGACGCCTGCCTTCTTGCGCCGCCCGGCAGCGCTCAGAGAGTCGTACGCCATGCTGACGTTGTTGTTAAAGGCCGTCCTTGAAGGAAGACGGGAGAAAGACTCACGTTATAGAAGTCAGCTTTCATGATGAAGCAGGCGAGCGAGTTAAGAAAACTAAGGAAGGCTAAAGTCTGAGCAAAGGAAACACTTGCATTTTCTCAAGGTCTGCAGATGGACCCTGTACTCAGTGTCATTCACTCCAAATGTATGTGTAGGATACCTTTTAAAATTTTATTTCGGGAAACAGTATGTCAGCCGATAGATCTGGCATTTCAAGGGGCTGCCAGAATCAAAGAAAAGAAGTGTAACAGAAATCTCTTAACCTTTTAATTTTGCCTTCAAATGTTCTCTTTTTAATGGTGCAAACCTCCTTGGAAACATTATGAGCGAGCCTGCATACAGATAATTATCAACCATCAGAAATTACAATGCAAGCCACATGCCTGAAGACTTTAAATCAGTGGGTGCTTATGATATACAGACAGATAGATAGATATCTGGAGGGTCATTTTATATACATATTTATATTTATTATATTTATATACAGTATATGTAAAATTATAGATACATACATAGGTATCTTTAGATAGATATAAAATTATAGATACATAGGTAGACAGGTATTGCTCTATATATATACACATACTGTATATATATATTATATAGAGAGATGTATGTATATGTATAGATATGTACAAAGATATCTATCTATCTATCCATCTATCCATCTATCGTGTTTCCCTGAAAATAAGACAGGGTCATATTAATTTTTGCTCCAAAAACGCATTAGCGGTTCTTTTCATGGGATGTTTTATTTTTTTTTCAGGTACAACCATCTACATTTATTCTATTCCACCTCCAACGCCCTTCACCCTCCGGCAGCGTAACCCTCGGGTGGATGATGGGGTTGAAGATGTCCAGCCACGGCCTCCTGCCGACTCTTTCCCGCCCCCTTTCCCTCGGGCGAGGGGGCAGAGCAGGTCCTCTGGCGCCTCTTTCCCCCTCCCCGCGAACTCCGTTTCCCAGCATGCCCCGCAACCCATTCCCCTCCCGCTTTCTCCGGTGCCTGGCCGCGGGGCCTTCTGGGGGCCAGAGTCTTTTTTCCCCCCTTCACCCCTCCCCCCGGTCCTGCCGCACCTGTGGGAATGGTGGGCCAGGCTCAGGGCCCACCAGGCACGGTCGAGGCGGAGCTGGAGGTGGGGCTGGCCGGTCTCCGCCGGGCCCGAGGCCTCCTCCTCCTCCGCCTGCGGGCTCCGGGGCGTCAGCTTCTCAAAGTAGGCGGCCAGGAAATCCACCGGCTCCTCCGGCCGGGCCTCCAGCACCTTCAGGAGGGCGGAGCGGACCAGGTCGGTCACGCCGGCCTGCAGAAGGAACTCGGCAGCGCCCTCGGGGAAGTCATTGCCCGTTGCCGTGGCAACCGGCCGGTTCGCGTCGCTTGCCGCCGCCGGCGGGCGCCGCTTCTCGCTGGCCGCCATTTTGCTTGAGGGCGCCCCTGCTCCTCGGGCGCCATGTTGCGTGTGGGCTGCGTCCGGCACGCTTTTCATTCCCAGCTGCCATCTTTCTGACGGGTGGCCAATCAGGGAGGGCTTCCAAAGGGGACGCGAGAAGAGCCGCAATGCACTTCCGGTCCCAAAGAACAGTGGGAAACTTCAGATTCAGAGGCCGAAGTGCGAGGTGGTCAACCGTAGAGATGCAAGGGCTAGAGTAGTACACCGATTCGGTACCTTGGCGACCAATGGGCGGCTTCCGTTGTCACCGGAAGTAGAGGCCTTTTGCCGGAAAACCATTTTTTTTATAACGTTTAAGGTTAATTAATAAGCTATACTTGAAGTTAGGCATCTGAGGGCAGAAGAATCGCCAGCGTGTATAAATATATCTGTATCTGCGGCTTAACAGTATACCTAAGGAACTGTTTTAGGATTCGTCCATAGGGGGGAGCCCCACTTCCGGTTTGCATGGGTTGCAGTTCACGTTTCTTAATACAGTATACTGAATTATTTTTTTAACGTAGATTCTGCCGGCTGGTCTTCTCGGTACCGTGAAATGAGTGACATTTTCCAGAAGGGAGGTTGTTTTAATGAGTAAATGAGAATTTGTAGAGAAGAAGGTGTTGGGGGGGGAAAGAGCTGTTAATTACAATGGGGCTAATTAACCTCAGAGAATTAGCAAAGGACGCTTTGTGAAAGAGAAGCTGTATATTGGCTAAGCTGTAAAAAAAAAAGCAGAGTTATGGGTATAAGGTGTGTTTAGTTCCAGTTTCAACTGATGCATCCAGTTTAATGGGTCTCTATTCCTTTGTTCATAAACCCTTTCCCAAAATATTAGAGAATCCAGGCGTGACAACTGCAACAATTAAAATAAACTTTTATTTTAATTTATTTTTCTTCTAGCTGCCTTTTGTTCCAAAGAAAGGGCCCCATCCATTGCGGTCAAGAGCGCCAGACTACAACACTGGTTGAAAGTCTTTCTTCACCAACAAAACACCCAGTGGGTTGGCTGTTCAGTGATCTAAAGTCTGCAGTCTCTGGCATCTTTGGATCATTTCATCCTTTAAAAACAAGAACACAGAGGTATCCAGGATTGGACACCTGTAGAAAAGGGTTACAGTGTCACTAGGTCTGTCCAAAAAGTCAGGTTTTTAGTCCTCATGGTGGTGAATCAATGGCTGGTTTAAACAGTCCTACTTGTGTGAGCTGTATTCTTCCATCTGACCAGTAGCAGGTCTCCTCGCTGGTGGTCTCTGCTTCTTTTTAAACTGGAGACACAAGGAATTTAAACAGGTACCTTGTGCAAACACGGCAGGAGTTTCACCAAGGGAAGAGACCCCCTCCATGCCCTGACATTTTGTCTCCAGCACAGCCAGAAGCCTGAAAACCCCTAACGTAGAGGGACCCAAGGGGGTGTTGTGTGCTGCCTAAGTTGCATCTGACTTATGGCGAAAGGCTTTTTGACGAATGATGTAAGTTTCGGACTGATTCAAAGGTCCAACCACAGAGTGACAGGCCTAGAGAAGCATCTGCCCAGATTTATTGACAGCTTCTTGACTTATGGCGAAAGGCTTTTTGAGGAATGATGGATACTCATGGAGTAAGTTTTGGACTGATTCAAAGGTCCAACCACAGAGTGACAGGCCTAGAGAAGCATCTGCCCAGATTTATTGACAGCTTCTTTTTTACATAGCATTTAATTTCACATGAACAAAGCAGCTTACAATGAGACAGTAAAACAAGGGGTGAAAAAGGAACAGACACAGCAAAAGTAGTAAAAACAATTCTTTAAAAAACAAGGGTAGCTACTGGTGATGTGAGAAACGCACAGGCTGACACGGAACATGGTAAGCCATCTCCAAATTCCAAAAACAAAGGCCAAATGAGACAGTACATGTATTTTTCAATTCAGCATGCTTCACTCATCGGATCAGAATAGCCTACAAAATTGCTAGAGAGTTTCAGGGCTGGAGGTCTGTGGCTGCGGCATCTGAGGTCAGTTGTTCGATTCCCCCACTGGGCTGCCTTGATAGGAGCTGGACTTCTATGATCTCATAGGGTCCCGTCCAGCTCTGCAGTTCTAAGGTTATTATTATTATTATTATAAAACTGTACATCCAGATAAATGTGGTAGTCAACACATTGGCCCAAGATCAATGGATCTTGAACTAAATCTCTCCAAAACCCAGGCCCCAAAAAGAAGAGGAAAAAAGACAAAACCCTTCCCGAGTCTCCAACCCCGGCCTGGACCTCTTCCCCTGTGATGTGTGCTGGAAGGACCTCAAGCACCAGACGAATTTCTGGGAGCGCCTGCGCGTCCACATATGTGGCCTTCACTCGCTGTGCCAACCTCCTTGAGCACCACCTGGTACCTCTGGCCCACCACTCCCACTGCTGAGACTGGGGGAAGCACTTCCAGCCGCCCTGGTTACGAACGCGGCGAGATGCCTCCGGACGAGGCCCCTCCCACCCCAAAAGCAGCAGGCGCCCCTTGGGCCCTGAGGAAGCACCTCTTGGTCCACCCCCAGGAGAAGCCCTTTGCCCGCTGGCACTGCAGCCAGCACTTCAAGCGGGAGGCCTCGGTCAAGGAGCACGAGCGAGCACTCTGGCCGCTGTGAAATTGGCCCCAAGCCTTTTGCTTGTTGCTCCAACTTTCCTGCAACACCCGCATGTGGCCCCTGTGTGCTGGAAAACCTGATGGAAAAGGAGCAAACATGTTGCTGGTGGAGCAAGGTGAGGTTCTAGCGAAACAGGCAGACGTGATTCTGGAGGGATGATTGTTTGTGGGGGATTTTCAGGGGGGTGGAGGGAGGGAGTCCTCACGTGTCATCGCTGGCCCTGCTTTCAAAACCCTTCCCGCAGGACCAGTGGCCCAGGCCTTTGAAAAGATGGATCTGGGCTGTCTCAGGCTGCTTCGTGAATGGGCAGGAAGGGAGAGACCAGAAAGGTTAGCCGAGAGAGGAAGAGGAGTCAGAGGGAAAAGCAAAGAGATGGTCTTCCTTCCCTTATCCATCACCCCCTCCCCAGGAGCTGTATAACACATCTGGTTTATAAATGTAAGGAATTGTTTCCGGGGCTTTGCTACAGCACGGAAGGATCTCGCTCTTCTGTAATTAGCAAGAGATCGGTTAGCCAAGTGTGAGAAAAGGGGCAAGAGGAAACCGCCTCCCACCCGTGTGCCCTCCCCTCTACCCTGGAAAAGGGGGAACCAAGGTGAGCTACCAGAGCCCTGGAAAAGGCCAGAGGTGATGGGAGGAGAAAGCCAGCGGGCTGTCAAAGAAAAGGCAGGAAAGGAGCTGAGGAAAAGGGACAAAGGAATCTGGATGGACGGAGAATAAAAAGAAGAAGAAGAAGAAGCCAGAGAGGGTCTTGGATGGAACCGGAGAATCCCTGGACAGGGGAAGAGGGTTAAGGTGCTGGGAGAAGAAGCAGAGAGGAGAGAGAATGTGCCCTGGAAGCCCTCTTACCTGGGGGAGAGGAGACAGTGGGGACCAGCCTTGGGTCCAAAGGAGGAGAGGGAAGAACCCTGGGGTACAGCAGAAAGGGGGAAACCCTCCTTAAAGGACAACAATCCCAGGAGCCCTTTCCTCGCCCCGTTGGTGAAGTTATGTCTCTTGCCCCTTTAACGTCTGTGCTCAGCCCCGACAGGTAGAGACTGCCCTGGCTAATGGAGGCTCGATACTCAGTTCCCACTGCAGAGGGATAGACTGACCAACATGCCATTCCTGCTCTGCTCTTTCGAAAGTCCATTCAAACAGGCAAGAGCGTCTGTGCGTCTGTCTCTGCGTGACAGCGAGACCTGCCTTTCTTCATCGGCAAAGTGAAGGTGAGGAACGTCCTGAAGCCTGGCGCTTTGCAACAGAGACCCCGGAGAGAGGGCTACAGGCAGGTCGGAAAACAGAAGGGAGACACGCAAGGAGATATTCCAGATTATCCAGGCTCAGCTGTTCCGTGCAGTTCACGGCAACTCATGCCCCACTGTTTAGGGTCCTGGCCGCAGTTCTCAACGGAGTGCAGCCATCAAGGAGGGGGACCAGCCAAGAAGTCTAGCTGAAATTGCTGACGTTGGCCCCACAAGCAAAGGGAGGTCTTGTTCGACGTCTTCCTTCCAAGACCATGATCCGGGCAAACACAGAAGACCCTGCCTTCCCATGCTGTCCTTGGCAGCCGCCTGCCTCAAAGCTCAGCCCCCCACCCCTCAGCCCCACATCTTCACAAAAAGTCACGGGGCCCCTCAGGGAGTACCAAAGGTGGCGCCTGTGGAGGAGGTACTGACTCTTAGCTGGCTCGCTTGCGCCACGTGCGATGGGCCACATAGCCAGTCACCAGCAGCCCTAAGAGAGACCCAACAGTGCCAGCCGCGATGATGGGGGCCGGGAAGGGATCTGGGGAAACAAGCAAAAAGAAGACGGCAGGTTAAGCCTAGGAAAATATGATCCATTTCCACACCGCTATATCACTTCGCATATACGTATAGGCTGCTTTTCTTTCATAAATCGATATGTAAATTGGCTCACCCTGAAACAGTTCTGTACTAAAACCAGCAACAATTTTGAGATAATTTGAGAACAATGACTACTGAAGATTGAAATAATTGAACCATAAACATCTCACAGTAACAAATCATAACAAATAATTCTTACAGTTATTTTTTTTAACTTAAAATATTTTACTTTGCCTTTCTCCTTAAAAAGGGCCCAAGGCAGCTTACATCATTAAAAGAGAGTATATAACACTAACCATGGTGAGTACGCAAACAAAAAAGCATCACACAAACACTGTATGAAGTCTGACTCCCGTTCCAGAGAGGCGGGCCAGGAAGAGATCATGGCCGATGGTCTCAAAAGCCACTGAGGGGCCCAGCAGAACCAGCCCGGCATAGGTCATTCACCAAGGCGACCGAAGCACTCTCGGTCCCCTAACCAGGCCTGAAGCCAGACTGAAAAAAGGCATCTTGATCATCTGTCTTGTCCAGGAACCCTGGAGCTGAGAAGCCACAACCCAACCCGCTCCAGCCCCTTTGCCCATGAATGGGAGATGAGAGACTGGCCGGTAATTATCTAGTACCGTGGGAACCGGGGCCGCTTTATTCAACCACGGTCTTCCTGTTGCCTCCTTTAAGCCAGATGGGATCCTGCCCTGTGGCAAGGAGGCGTTTGCCGCTCCTCCTACCCACTCAACCTGTCCCCTGGTCGGCTTCACCTCTCCCAAGAGTTTTGTCTGTATCATCAGGCTGCAAAAAGGGAAACTCTCCCATTAACACAGGGCAAACGGGGGGGGGGAGAGATATATTGGCATAAACAGTACAGACTAGATAGCATAAACAAAAATGACACCAATAATTTTAATTCATACAAATGCTCTTGAGCATAGCAACCCTGCCATATTGTCTTCAGCCACTAGGTGGCAGACTGCCCTAAGTAAAACATAGGCTTGCGATCAATACTGTTTGAAGCCGGAAGGAGGGGGGGAACAGGTTCAAGGGCCAGTGTGACAAGACGGGTCCCTTCACTCCCTCCCCCACTCCCTAGGCTATAGGAGGGACCTATGGCCAGTGGGCCCCCTGAACCATGGTGGTTACACTCAGATGGGCTGAACCATTGTGCATCCAGCGGTGTAATTTTGCTTGAAGCTTCTAGCATACCAAACTCAGGCTGACTCAGGGTTTTTTGCTACTCTCATAATGAAATCAAGCAATTAGCAAGATTATCATCTGGGAGTACAATACCTAGAGTCCCCACAACTGGTAGGATGGGGGCTGTAGTCCCAAAGTAACTTTGCTGGGTGTTCAAATAAGATCGCAAACATTTCATGGGCCTGAATTGCTTTTTCAATAGCAAAGCCTCCTGGCCACTCACCGTCCAAGACGACGACCCTCAGACTCTCCAGCCAGGCCTGGCTGCTTATCACAAGGCACCGGTAGACCCCTTGATGCTCCTTGCCAGCGCTGGCCACCATCAGAGTGGAGCGGTCTTTGCCTTCTTCCAGCTGGTACTGGGACAGGGCCACGGGCGTTCCAACCCACCGGATTTGGACCCGGCCCCCGCACTCCGGCAGGTGGCAAGTGATGCGGAGCGGCTTCCCCGTGCCCCCTTGTGCGGGCTCAGGTTTGATCACAGGGCGGCAAGGCCCTTCTTTGGGGGTGTGAACCTGAGGCCTGTCTGTAGCCACCTGGGAAGGACGGCGGTTGTGGGTGGAAACAGTCTCCAGAGTGGACTGTCGGCCGGCGGAGGCAGAGACGTGTGACGTCGCGGGTGGAAGAGTCACGGCGGGGGTGCCGTTGCTGGTGGCCTCGGCCTCAGGCGTCAGCGAATTTGTCTGTGTCTCCGTAACAGAGCTCTCTGCCGGAGAATGGCTCATCTCTACCTCAGAGCTCTCTGTTCCAGCCAATGCCGAGGCTACCGTGGATGCCGCTCTGGACGTGGCGCTCGTGAGGTCCTGGGTGGAACGAAGAACCAGGTGGTCGCTGGCGGCCGCTGTGAACGAGGAAATCCACCACCCGGGAGTGAGCGGCTTCGGAGTCATCGCATGGCTCATCCTCTGGAAGGCCGAGGTGGTCTTCTCCGCGGCCTCGGGTCCTTTTTGAGCGGCTGTAAACCAAAGATATGGCAAGGATGAAACAGATTTTGAGTGTCCGTGGACACATTAAACAAACAGAGCTTGGTTTATTAGCCCCAACCATTTTTTTTAAGTCAACAAGTTTGTGAACAAAGACCAGCCTGGCTCATTCTGAGAGAATGCTGGAATGGAGAGTGCATTGCATGAGGAAATAGGTAAAATATTAAAATTTTTCGAACCTAGTGGGATGTGAACATTTGGCAGGAATTATCTTTTCAAGTGACATGCATAATGCACCTCCAACGGGGAGAGGAAAAAAGGTCAGGATGTGATTAGTTGCAATGAAATCAAGGGTCCCACGAAACGCAGCCTTCAGCTGTTTTAATTTTTTAAAATCAAGTTTCTAGTCCTCACAGTTGTCGCAATGAACTGCCTGGCACTTGCATGAATATTCTTGCTCTGATAACTGATGAAGTGACATTGTAAATGGAGGGAGGAGGCATAAATTACACCCAGGAAGGGGTTCCATACCTGGGTTCTGCATCACAGATACCCATTCTAGAATGCGTTCTTCCTCTGGGCAAAATCTGCAGGACCTAGATGGAAGATTCTGGTGCACAGGGATTGCTGTCCAGTAATTTTAAATCTGATCAACAATCCCTTTGAGTTATTTGAATCGTAAGAAAAACAGCCTAACAGATCAAAGGGAAAGCCTAATCTGTTTGTAATCAAGCATCCGGTATCCCTCGCACTCATTTGAACAACTCTTTGTCAAGACGGGAGCAAATGAGTGTCCTCCCGTCCCGCTCATAGTCCCCAGTCTACTGCCTCTCATTCCAAAGCCATCTAGCAGGAGACACTGAGAACCATCTCTTCCACAAAGGGTCCAGTCCTGTCCACGATGGTGGCCACTGTTTCGCCTTCTGGGTCACAGTCCTCAGCTTGACGGTCAGACCCATAGAGAACAGGTTCCTCCCTTGACTCTCCTGCTATGACCTTCCATTGTGCTCGGGTCCTTTCCTCTTGGGAGGTGGGGTCTGAGCTCAGGAGAACTTGGCTTTCTACTTCCTTTATGTGGACGTTGTGCAGCCAGCGTGGCGTAGAAACACTCCTGGATCGACCCCTCAGCCACCTTGCGGCTAAACTCACCCTGTGGCCTGGGCGCGTCCTTGGTGGCACGACCACCCTCCCCATTGTCCCCATCTTCCAGAAGCTAGGGAAACAGGCCCCCTTCGGCGTCAAGCTCACCTTGGGTGTTGACGGTGGCCACCTTCTCTTGGCGGAAGGTGTGCCGTCCAACATCCAGCGTGGCTTGGCACTTGTAAGCTGTGCCCACGGGGGCTGCCGGGACTTCCAGGACGGAGCGGTACTCAAACAGTTGCTCGTGGGACTCGGCCATCTCCTCTTCCTCCACGGAAGCGTCCAGCTGCTCTGCTCCTCGGAACCAGCTCAGTGTGAGAGAACCCGGAGGGGAGATGTGGCTCAGGGAACAGGAGAGGCGGGCCGGCTGGCCGGCTTTCAGCATCTCCGGTTGGGATTCCAGGCGCAAAGTGTCTGGGAAGGCTGTGAAAGGAGGTGCCCGTTAAGAGCAGAGCTGGCAGATCGGACCCAAACCTGGTGCCCTCTTTCACCAGAACAGGCCAAGCAAAGTAAGACTGACAGACAGCCCTAAAGTTGATTTCTTATTTCACTAGATTATTTCTAAAACAAAAACAAAAAACAAAACCACTCCCCAAATCCCAGCCTAATAGAACACAAGCACCTTGGCTTAACCATCGTCTGTGTCTGGGCAATCCTGGTCCACCCCATGCTGTTTGGAATGCTGTTCCCATTAGCCCCAGCCAGTGATGATGAACGATGGGAATAGGAGTCTTGCAGTGGGAGGGGCAACCTATCATCTGGCCCTAATCCAGTCACCTTACGGCTGTTCCCCATCCACCCACCCACAACTCGGTACTGTACTCTCTAAATCAGAAGGGGTATGATACTCCTGCAAGCCCGAGGGAGGAGGATGTGATCCCTAGTCCAACTCCTCTGGGTTCCACAAGGACGTTTCTGTCCTGCTGCTGTATTCAGGCTACCCCAGCCATTATGCAATGGACTGACATGCTTTTGTGGGCGCAGATGCTACATGCTTATCACAGCTTCGAGAGGTGGGAAGAGTAAGGAGGGAGAACCGGCTACAGAGAATCAAAGGAAGCAAAACCCAACCTCCCTTAGAGATGCAGCTTCGAGAGGGGGGAACAGTAAGGAGGCAGAACCAGCTACAGAGCATCCAGTGCCTTCCAAGGAAGCAAAACCCAACCTCCCTTAGAGAGAAGCTGCTCTGTGCATGGGCACCTGGTTGGCTGAAATGTGAGAAATTCTTACCCATGAGGGACGAATTGACGGTTGCAAAACTGTTGTTCTTTTTTTAAAAAACAGTATTTAAAAAATCTGATGAAATCTGAGGGTCCCCACCCTGCTGGGAACCCAAGGGTGCATTTCTTTTACCCGAAAGAACGTGTTGCCCTTTCCTCCAAGAAACTGCCCGCTTGTCATTATTGCTCGAGACCTGGCTTCCTAGAATTAGCTAAGACACTGAGCTCCAGGAATAACTCCACCTCCCCGAAAAGAAAAGTTTGGCGAGAGAAAAGACATTGGCATCAGGGCAGGGGGCGGCCTGCATGCAGCAGCAGATCAGAATGCTCAGGGCCAAGAGGATGACCCCACCCGGCAAACAGGGGTGGTACCCATCCCCATCCAGGGAGCCAATCCATCAACCATGCCCACAAGTCTGTAACCTTAGATGATAAATCACCCTCGAGTGGCAGAGCTGGAAGGGGGACCCTAGGAAGTCACTGGATCCGGCCCTTACCAAGGAGGCCCAGTGGGGGAATCGCACCCCCAACCCCTGAGCGATCCACCTCCCAAAGGCTGTGTCTGAGCGTGTCCGAAGTGCCCATCTATAGAGATTATGCTTCCTGCATCCGAGGAGGACGGGGCCAAGATCTTCAAAATAAACTTAAGCTCAAGAAAACTCGTCCATCTGCCTCGGACCCGACACCCCCCCGGACCGGACGCTCGGCACTTACAGAAGACCCGCAGCGCCACTTTCTTCTGCAATGGCTTCCTGTGGCATTGCCCCACGCATGTCTTCTCACCCTCCGAGTTCACAGTGGCGTTGAAGATAGTCAGGACGCTGTAGGTGTGGTTGGACATGATGTTCCCCAGGTCGGTGTCCAGGCCGGTCCATTGCACCTTCCCCCCAGGGCAGTCCAGGGCGCAGGTCAACCGGACGGATCCACCACGTTCTACCAGCGGCTCCTCGGGATGGATGGTCAGTAGGGGCGTTGGAATACCTGCTCGGGGGGGGGGAAGAAAGAGAGAAAAAGACCCACATAAACAAGGGGGAAAGGGTCTGCGGAGAGCTTGGGGAGGGAAAGACATGGGGAACGACACCTCCCAGACTCCCCCAGCTGCATGGGAGTTGCAGTTTAAAAAATGACTTGTCCAGACTTTGCTCTCCTTGAACATGGAAGGAGAACATCCCAGAATTTGGGAAGTGAGTGGAGCATTTATTTTATTTAAAATATTTCTACCCTGCCTTATTTCCTTAAAAAAGGGCCCAGGGTGGCGTACCTGGTCACAAACACAATGTGAAATGCTAAAAACAGGAAACAATTCAGGTATTTAAAAAGAGTCCATAACATGGTACAGTATTAAAAATTTAGGTGAAAGCACTGATTAAAAACAAATGTAGAAGCCACAGTATAGAAACTGTCCTGCTTCTTGGCTCCTCAGCAGTCAGGAAGGAAGGAAAAGCCTGCCATATGCGGAGTTTTCCAAATCTCTCTCTCTCTTTCCTTTCAAAAATGCTGGAGATGCCAAAAAGCAACACATCAGCAATGGTATTCTGAGCAAACACAACGGCACTGCAAGAGAAATGCTTCCACAAACACACACGCACCCTCGGATTTGAGCAGCCACCTTTCTGGAAGCAAATGAGAAAGATCAGTTCGATTCTCCTCCGCTTTGAGACCGACCAGCAGAAAGGTCTGGGCGCCTCCGTTTCTAAGAGTGAACAGCCGGCTGCCTGGGTTGCAGCTCCCTGTTGCTGTTGGCTTAGGGTAGACACTCCCTGAACATGGAGGTTCCCTTTGATTTCAAACAGCTGAAAGGCTGGGACGAGAAGTCACAAGAGCAGATTCTTGCCTAAACTCTGAGCGAAACATCGCAACGGTGGTGGAGGAAGCAACACTGGAAGGTCCTGGGTCCCGTCTCCCCCCCCCCCCCGGGATTGGAGGTATTTGAGGAGATGATGGTCGACCATTCAGAGATTTGGTAGTGTCAAGAGGACCGCCTCGACCAGAGGGCTAGACTAGATGACCTCAAGGGACCGACAGCTCTCATTCTTTCAGCACTGAAGTCAAGGCCAAGAATACATGTTATGGACAATGTTGAGCATCCTGTACCTCCTTAAAACCGACTTGCCCAGCACAAGCGAGCCCGGAACTGGGAGCAAGTGGCGACAGGACAGGTTTCTGGGGAGAACCAGGAGACAAGGCTTCACCCTCACGGCAGCCCTCTGAGGTAGGCCAGGCTCTAAGAGAAAACATCCCTCATCACTTTAGGGAGGAGCGCTGGGACTGGTTGTCTTCAAAGTCTTCCCAGGTTTTCTAGGTAGAGCGAGTCCTCCGACGGGGTTCCCCCTTTCCCTTCTTCTGGGACGGCTGCTGCTTTGGCTCAAGGCCAGCCTTTCCCTTCTTCTGGGATGGCTGCTGCTTTGGCTCAAGGCCACCCCAGGCTGGCTCTTCTCTCCCCCCCCCGGGAGGCACACCGTGGGGGATTCGAACCCCCAACCTCGGGCTCTGCACCCCTGTCTTGTAATGGCACATTTTGGGTGTCCCCTCCCCCCCCGGGGTGCAGAACCTTGGACTTATCCCTGTTAAATTTCATTCTGTTGTTTCCAGCCTGTCAAAACAACACCAAGAAGGCTTCGGGTTCTTCAGCTTCAAAAGAGGATGGTGTAAAGTCTGAAAAACGCTGATCACATGCCTCTAACAATAGCTTTATGTGCCGTTTAAAACTAACTTTTTAAAGTAATGACTGAGAAAAAAAGTTACGTGGCTATTGATTACATTACTCGTCATTCTTTTTAAAAAGCCAGTATTCACAGGTAATGATGGAACTGGTCGCTAGTTACCACCAAGCAGTGCTCTCTCTCTCTCTCTCTCTTATGTTGGCATAAAAATCTAGTGGCAAGGAGTTCCGTCAGCTAATGCTGCATCCTGCACAGCTCCTTGCCTCCATCTCAACACCCACTGTTCAAGCCGGGATGCTCCTTCTCCCAATTTTTTTTTTAATTACTGAGACCACAAAGGATAGGGGAAGCAATCAGAGAACTGAAATCTATTTTTCACTGCATTTTTTAAAAAAAATCACATTTGCGGATTCTCGAGCCAGCCAGACTTACCGCTGCTGCGCCAGGTGAGGCAGAGCAGAAAGCCCAAGTGAAATAATGCCATTGCTTTCGCTCTGAGATCTACCCCTCGGTGCTCAAGAGGATGTCGGACGGATGTACGGTATTCTCTTGGAGAGGTCCGGTCACCTTGGATTCAGCTCCTTCCTCCTTCCTTCCAATAATTCTGGCAGCCCTAGAACAAGCCGTGTTCCGCTCACTCCGTGCCAACTCTCTCTGACCCCCTATCCCAGAGGCTGACAGCTCTTAAATTTATAGCAGGTGACACCGCCCACACTTGAGTTTTTCTGGGGAAAACATTTGTGTGTGGTTTTTTTTTAAAAAAGAACCTTCTCCACGGGTTTATCTCCTTCCAAAATCCCAGCAAGCAGAAAAATCTTGGAACCTAGCAGTTTTCCAGAAAATGATTTTAAAAAGGGTGGAGATCATGGAATTAACTTGCTAAAGACCGGTATTCTGTCAGGAAAATCCACCTCAGTTTCTCGGAGATTCTGAGGTTAAATCCCAATTTTTGTGGTAGAGTTGGGCTATGGTTGTCCTGTCTGTGCAGGATATTTTATGCAAGATGGGGTTTACTGGGTCCTGCAGGTTTCCATGGGTCTGCTTGAAATGTCGCCTGGAACGCTGGATCCATTTTTCTCTGTTTCAAATCCAGTGAGCATTAAGACTCTTCCCCCATGCTGTCTCTGTGCAACAGCCCTGAGAAGTAGGTCGGGGCAAGAGGGAGGAGGATTGGCCCCGTTTGCCACAAAGAGTTGGGTGGCCAGGTGGCGATTCGCACCCGCATCTCCAAGGTCCTCATTCCGCCACAGCACGCTTGAGGAGTTCGGACTGGCATCTTTGTTTTATTGGATGATCGTCGTTTACAGGAGGTTTCCTACAGCGTTTCAGAAATGCGGGCCAGGATCGCTTAGGTCCTTTGACGTCAATCGCTGCAGTGGAATATGGCTAGTCAAGAGGCCGATGCTGGTATTCCTCGTTGCACACCAACTCCGACTGGAGCAAGGAGGACACATAATAAAAGGCCCAAACCCTTAACTGGCAGATTCACAGGTCTGTTTTGTGGGCACCCGGGAGAGGAGGGCCTTCTTCTCGGTGGCTGCTCCTTTAGACTCTGGAACTCCCTGCCCCTGGAAGTCTGCCGGGCCCGGTCTGGGCTCTCCTTTCCCTCTAGACAGGCTTTCCCTTTAATGACTGCCTGCACCAGAGGGGTTTTTTAAATGGATGGTTGAGCTTTGTTGCTTTTAAATGTGGTTTTTGGTGTTGCTTATGCTTTATGGGACGTGGTGGCGAAGCCTCTGTCCTGCAAGGTCAGAAGACCTGCAGTCATAAGATCGAATCCACACGACGGAGGGAGCTCCCATTGCTTCTCCTAGCTCCTGCCAACCTAGCCATTTGAAAACATGTAAAAATGTGAGTCGTTCCATGTCTAGACATGCTGGCCATGTGACCACGGGAACCATCTTCGGGCAAATGTTGGCTCTACGTCTTGGAGACGGGGATGAGTGCCGCACCCTAGAGTCAGACACGACTGTCAAGGGGAACCTTACTATTTTTTAAAAGTATATTTGTTTGATCCTTTTTAGTCTTTGCTTACTGTGTTTAGCTTTAAATATTGTCTTTTAATGATGTAAGCCGCCCTGGGGCCTTTTTAAGGAGAAAGGTGGGGTAAAATATATCAAATAATTCGCTATTGTGATTTACACTGTCGAACATGAGCTGGTGTGTGGAAGGAGAATGGTTCCGCTCACTGGATTATAACTGACAGACTCTCCTTAAATCACTCCAGGGATGGAAAGGGAGCATGCAGACCTTCGCTTTGGGTGGAAAAGATTTCAGCCTTCGTATGTGGCCTACAATTCCCATCCCGGTTGCGGCGGCTAAGGACCCACAGAGTTAGCAGGCCAAATGCTCCCACAGGTTCCACTATTTAACTGATCTGACCATTTGCCAGTTTCTCCGACTGCGGATGGCTTCCTGGAAATGTATTTATTTCAAATGTGCATTTCTTATGCCTGTCCGGGAATGGCTTGGCTCAGGAGGCTTCAAAGCAGGACACATTAATTAGAAGTCAACTCATATATACCGAAAGCAGGATATGTCAGGGATGGGGGTGGTGGTCCGTGAAATAAATGAGAGGTATGACAACACAGAGGGAAACTTTCAAATAGCAATAATTTGATATTTATTTTATATGCCACCTTTCTCCCCATAGAGGTATGTTTCGAACATGGGCCTCGTTTCTCCCAAATCAGCTCTACTTATGGCTTCTGAGCTCACAACGCAACACTTCTTGGAGTTCCTGCAATTTATACCCCGCTATGTGGGACAAAAGAAGATCTAGCAAAGGGCGTGGTAGTAGCCCGCTTCTCGTCAAAAACAGTCTAATTACTGCAGCAAGAATTCTTTTTGTTAAACACTGGAAAGACCCGGAGAATCCATCTCAAGATGAGTTAATAGCAAACATCCTGGATATGGTGGAGATGGATCAACTAACAGAATACCTAGACTCAACAAGAAAGACAAATCATGAAGATTGTTAGCATAAATTTGATGACTGGCTTAGAAATGGAATGGAAATTAATATTTGATAATTGAGAGCCAAAGATCAATTTAGAATTAGAATATGAATTATAAATTAGTTACACTGGAAACCTATGTATCTTTGAAATGAAATAGATAAGAATGAATATTGTAAAATGTTCACGTTGATTCACAAACCTGTTTAATCCCCTGTACCCATCTCCAACCCCTAAAATAAAACTTTAAAAAAACCCAGTCTATTTAGCAGAACATTTTAATTTGTTTTGGGGTTGTTGTTGTTGTTTTTACATTTTTACGTATATTTCATATACATGTCATTTAAAATTTTGCAACGCT